GGTACCGTGACTCTGTTCTGATTTTTCCAAAATTCCCTTAATCCTTCGTGTTTGAGTTTAAAACCTTTTGGATATTTGAAAATGTTTATGGGATGGTTTTAAACATATTTTGTGAGTGCTTTTGAGCTTGTGAATATAGGTATATAAAGTCATATCCTTACATTGGTTTCTACCTATATTCTACGCTAGTTTTAGTGTTTCGACTTCATTCTTGAGTACCGAATCTTAATGGATTCTTGTTTTCCTAAAACACTTAAACAAACGTTAAGCTCTTATATTGTTTGTTAACATCAAAACATGAGACTTAGCAAACCAAGGCTAATAATCTCCCCCTTTTTGATGTTGACAAACAATATACTTCAAAGTGAGTTAGGCGGGAGTAAAATAATGAAGCAAGCAAGCTCCCCCTAAGAATAAGCATATTTAAAATACTCACTTTGAACTTTTTCTTGTGTTTATTAAAAGTATAAGTTTGATGCAAATAGTTTTACAAGAATGCACTCAAGTCAAGTTACATATGCACCACTTTGAAGTATACATCTTCTCCCCCTTTTGTCAAAATCAAAAAGGGTATTTTGAAAATTTTAACTATGTATAACTTCATGAAACCCTCCCCCTATCAAAATGAATTTTTTAGGAAAAATGATAGTTTTGAGATCATTGGGCAAAAGGTGCATTTACAACGAAACTCCATCTAAAAATGAAAACTCCCCCTAAAATGATGCAAGTTTAAAAACTTTATTTTTTTCAGGGATTTTTGGGGATTATTTTCTAAAATGCATGATTTAAAGAAAAAAAAATTTAATCATGCAAACCAAGGCTAAAGCAAATAAAAACATGTATTGGATAAGGTTTCATTTTTGAAAATACTTAAAACCAAACAAAATATCTTATCCCAATAAGTGAGAAGAACTTACCTTGGCTTATGCCGCTCTTTCTTCGGCTTTTTATACGTTTCTTTCCTCTTCGCATACTTCTTCCATTTGAGGAAATCCGTATACTTCTTTCTCATTTCCTTCTCTTCGTCTTCTTCATCATCCGACTCTTCCGTAGAGCTTGAGTCGCTTGAATCATCACTTGATTCACTTGACTCTTCACTAGACGAATCTTTTGAAGCTTTGAAGGCATTGGTAAGCTTGGGATTTTCACGCATTTCTTCCTCTTTGATCTTTCTCAACAAAAGCTCGTGAGAATATAAGGAAGACCAAATGTGGGCGGTTTCGGCCTTATCACATTTGGGTAATAAATCTACTATACTACTATGCCATTCTTTTGGTAAAGAAAATAGAATTTTCGTATTAAGCTCGGAAGTAGTATATGTCTTACCCAACTTACTCAATTTGTTGACAACCTCGTTGAATCTTTTGTTCATATCTTGGATTGTCTCACGTGGCCCTTTCTTGAAGGATTCATACTCCGAGTTTCCTAGAGCAATCATGGTTTGCTTCGTGGAGGTGTCGCCTTCATGCGTGGCTTGAAGCAAATCCCATACCTCCTTGGCCGTTTTGCACGAGGACACACGTGCAAACTCATCAGGTCCAAGGGAGCAATGAAGGATATTCATCGCCTTAGCGTTCATGGACAATTTTCACTTGTCCTCCGATGATAGACCTGCAAGGCTACCATTACTCGGCACAAATGGCCCGTGAAGTACATTTATCCATAAATCAAAATCAATGGATTGTATAAAATATTCCATCCGCATTTTCCAATAAGAATAATTTTGGCCATTGAAAAACGGAGGGCGGTGAATGCTTTGGGAATCCATTTGGGCCATTTTTCAATAAATTTGAATTTTTAAAAATTTAGGGAAAATAAAATTTTGAGATCTTAAAATTCAAATTTAAAAAGGGACACAACAAGTAGATCTTTGTCGTAGATGCGATTAAGCACTTTCAACTACGAAACTGCTCCGATACCAATTGTTAATCGGTTTAGTCGTTGTGCCCACGCCTTAGAGGGGGGGGGGTGAATAAGGCGTTTTAAAATCTTTTCGGAGTTTAATAAAAACAATGTTGGCAAATACGGAAGCAATATATAAAACGCAGAAATAAAAGCGTAAATAAAATGCACACCGATTTTATACTGGTTCGGGAACTCCCTACTCCAGTACCTCGAGGCTCCTCCTCAAGGATTTCCAAATCCACTAAGTCCCGGTCTCTTGAACTCCGTCAAAGCACCGCACTAGTTTGGCAAACAACCCTTGCCAATAGGATTCACTCCGAGATTTTACAACGGCTATCTCGAATCGTTTACAATGAAGATTTAACGGCTATCTTCTACCGTTCCCCCAAGGATTTCAAAGGCTATCCTTGAACCTTTACCCAAGGATTTAAACGGCTATCCTCGACCGATACAATATGAGAATTTAACGGCTATTCTCGACCGTATAAAGATGTGTTTGAAGAACACAAACAAGAGTTCTACACAACGGCTTGAATATAAAAATGAAGAACAAAACTTAGCCGGTGTAGAAGGAAGGTATACTCTCTCAAAAATACAATTCAAACTTATGAATATGAGAGTATATAACTAGAAACACAAGCTCAAAGTGTGTGTATAAAAATCAGGAATTTAAGGCT